AGAATATAGAAGATAGCGACGCGTTTGAAGAATAATGTCTTGTTCTACTTAATAAGAAAAATTGTGGTAGTGTTGCGTAATATTATTGCAAAGGTGGGGTGTGGTGGTGGAGCTGACGACTCGGTGGGGTTGACGACTCGGTGGTGAAACACGTTAAGACTTTTTAGAATACGTTTTTTTCATGTAACCCCTCTGTATATTCCATAACTAGACTCAACGATACATGAGAATCTCAATCAAATCGGAAACCTCCTCAAAAACAGAGCTTTGCGGCAACATGATTCCTATCCTAGCAAAAAACCCGGCAACAATGCTAAGTAAAGCTCTTGCCTCCTTTCTCCTGTCCTGATCCGGCTCTAGGATAATGCCTAGCGCAAGTAAACACAAAGCAAGCTTGTTGATGAACAGATGGTTGCTATTGTACAACTAATTAGTATAGTTGGATTGTGAGAGATACTAGTTTGTGCGACACGTACCAGTCTTGAAGAAGGTATTCGGGTGGCATTGTGCTAGAAAGTGGAATTATTTCGCGTGTTAATTGCTTGAGTAGTTTTCTATACTCCTGAGACTCCGCAGGAGAAGAACACTGCGGGTTTGGCAGGCTTATACTTAGTAACTGAAACCGAGCCTCATAGTAATAGTAGGCTGTCTGGAGCTTGATTCGCATGGTATCATTGTGGTCCAGAGAGAGAATCATCTGGCTGACCCTAGTTGACCTATACCATTCTTCCAGCGCCGTTGACAGCGACACAGCCCTGTCAGAATGATATTTGGACGGCTCTTCTTCTGCGCCTACTCGGAGCTGCAGGATATTTGAGCAGATTTTGGAGTATTGAGAACGAACACATAACCATTCTAGGGATGCTATAGCTGCAAGATCGCTGTCAATTACGTTATCAGGGGGGTTTGTAGTGACAAGGAAATCGTCGCCGACTAGCTGTTCTTCGTATATTAGCCTTGCCCCTACTAGCCCAGGACAAATATGTAGAGCTTACAGAGAAGGCATTCCACCTTAATGCATAAGACTTGTCAATGCAATAGAGTACCCACATGGCTCGTTTAGTCTGGATGGCTTGCTCGTCACTAGTACAGAGCTTGCGTAGAACAGGATCCAAATGAAGACCTAAGGAGGCTGCGTTCGAAACACTGCCAAGTATAAGCGCAGGTAGGTTTTCTAGTCCTGTTCTCTCGGCAAGACAGAGCTGGGTAGGTTAGTCGACTGCTTCGCTGTAGATAGTGAGTTTTTACGAACTACAGCAACAAGCGCCTAGCTCAGGTTAGCAGAACCTCCGTTATCATTGAGCGGAAATACCTACCAAGAATTGACGAACGCTACCATTCTGGCGAAGTAGCAACGTTGAAATTTCCAGCGCAGCATCTAGTAATGTTGCTTTAGAAATCGAGCTCATTTCTGGATCCAATAAGGCTCCCCAAGCCATTGAGACAATTAGTAGTGACATATCGCTGACGTCTATAGGCAGATTCTTTGGATCGAGAAAACGCTCTTGTATACGCGTGACATCCTGTTCCTTGGTGAAAAGACTCAGACTACACGACGCATGAGCTCACATAATGTATTAGTTATTCAATTAACTTACCCTCCTGGCTCTCTAAATGCTTCTTATAAACCATTAGCGTGCTTCCTGTAGGCGACGTCCTAGACATACTTTGAACAAGCTTGACAGGGAGATTCTTTAGGTCCAGACTTTGATGCTCTTTGCCAGAGTTAGTCTTACGCAAGAGACTAAAGAGGCAAGTCTGGTGCTCTGAAGAAAGCAGCATTTTAATTTTTTCTAAAACTGCCTGTTGTTTACGGCTCCCTTGATCTGCATTTTGGAAAAGGGAAGAAACTCTATAGGTTTTGTGGTTTAAGAATGACTTTGTTTTTGTCATGTTAGAAACCAGAAATGAATAGTTAGTAAGGAGGGACAGATTAATTACCTCTGCTTTATCGTCTACTACTCGGTCCAGGAAGAGGGCAAGAGTCCATTCAGCAGCGCCGTTGTCTTGGGTAGTTCCTAGATAATCGCGGGGCTGAGCGGTGCTGTGCTGGTGCAGGCTTTGGTCACAGTCCAACTTGAGCCAGTCTGGCATAGAATCTTCATTTCTAGGGGTATAGTATGGTGTCTGGTTCTGAAAACTGCTTGTTTGCTGACCTGGCTCTATTTTTTAGTTAATTGTTCGTTTCATTGGAGAAAGAGCAACTGCCTCGAGTAAAAGAGTAATAGACACGCCTCCTCAGAACCGAGAACTCAAAAAGAAAGGGGGTCCCTAATATGTACCTATGATTTGGACTTGGTTGGTATCCGGCGTTGTTTCATCTAGGCAATCAAAATCCAAATACGAGTGCGCGCTATCAGATATCAACTGCGAGAAACACACTTCACTGAATGGTGTATTTAGAGGATTTGCTGAGTTCTCGACACCCTGGTTAACAATAACCTCAGAAGAACGATGTGGATTTGATGAATCAAGCATCGTGCTACTATTCATTGCCCACGGTTGTGTTGTTGTAGAGACGTGCTTATTAAGGTCCTGAACACGTTCCTTTTGTAGGTCACGTCGTAAGCGACGTATGTTGTATTCACATAGAGATTCGTTCCGCTGTCGTCGTGTCAATAGCGGCTCTCAGGATAGACCGAAGGCTTTTGTCTACCTGGCAGTGGTTACACGGATTCGCTCCATCGCCTGTGTCTCTTAGCATGTACCTGGGTTATTAGGGAATAAGCTTACATCGAACCTTCTTCTGACGGCATTCTTCACATGCGCCTTTCCGTCGAGTTAACTTAGGACGAGGGACACTCATTTGTTCGACAAAAACACCTTTGGACACGTAAACAAGGCGAAAGGCAGATTTTAAACAAAATACATTCGAGGATATGTAGCTAGTCTACTAATCAAATATCCCGCAGCAACTAGAGATGCTACTTAGCTGTCTGAGGGGACGAGCTAGAAATTTGCATGAAGGTGCATACTAAGGCCTTTCGTACCCAGTTTGTAACCGCCTAATAGGCCGGGTGGCAAATACAAGCATGTACTTGGTAGATTGCGGAAGTAGGGGTAGTGGGGCGGTGGCAAAATCCGGGATTATGTAATATCTTATCAGGTGAAAGGTTTCAATACATTGTGTGCCCACCTTGAGCAGCAATTACAGCCTCACACCTCCTCCCCATACTATTTACTAAGGACTGGAGGTATCCAGGTGTAATAGCAGCCCAGGCTTCCCACACAATACGCTCAAGATCATGTGGTCTTGGCTTCTGCTCTATAAGCTCTAGATAGGTACGTCCGATCCACCTCTTCATCTCAGCCCACACAGACTCGATAGGGTTCAAGTCTGGTGAGTACGCAGGCCATATGATAGTTTGTATTTCTAACTGAATATCCCCTCTAGTATATGCAGCAGTATAGGATGATGCATTGTCTTGCATAAAAAGTAAGCCTGGGTTCATAATCATCCATATTTCTACCAGCGGTAGTATTCTCCAGCTGTAGGATCTAGCATCAATTCTCCCCCAACCCTTTTTCCAGATAGCTGCAGGACCTTTATTACTCCCATTGAAGCAAGCCCAGAACACTTGGCCACGTTTTTTACGGATCTTATCTACTCAACATGTATATTCCAGTGCCTCGTGATGCAGCCGAGTGGCGTATATCCGCTTATTACCCCCTACAACCCAGGTCTCGTCACTCCAGAGAATCCGGTTCCATTGAGATATACCCCAGTGCTGGTGGTCAAGGGCCTATTGAAGTCGGGCTCTTTTATTCTCTTCATTTATTGGTGGCTTATAGAGAGCTTTCTTCCTCATATACCCAGCTGCCTTAAGAGCTCTGCAAATACAATCCTCAGAGACGCCCCAGGCAGGATAGAAATAAGTAGCAAGAGCATAATAAGGCATACGCTGAGTAGCACGGGTCTGTCTTATAAAAGCGATAAGCTCCTGTACCTGCTCAGAGCTGAGTTTTGATAGTCTGCTAGGTCTCTTTTTTAGGGTAAGAGGGAGTTAGATTACGTTTCGAATCTGCTTAATAGAGAAACCAAGCTGTTTTCGGGTGAATTCATATGTATGGCCGGCATCGCGTAGTATTTTGACCTGGAGGCGCTCATCGTGGGTAAGGTAATGATGGTGACGTGGGGTGGATAGAGGCATTGCAAATACGTAGTAAGGGGACACTTAGCCTGAAGCTTCAGTTATTGAAGAGATTAAGACGTAATATTACTGTATTACAGCGGTTTTAATCTATCCGAAGTCTTACCGAACAAAACCCCCTATTTACTCCACTGCCCCCACTTCCTCTATCTACTAAGTATGCATCCGAGTGATGCTAGGGAGGACATGGCATTCCATCCTTACTGGGATGTCCGTTGTTGGCGGGAGGCCAAGTCACGTGGTCCTGCTCTACGATAATCATTACCTTCTGAGGTAGACGTCCGTGGTGTTACGGGCTAGACGCCTTTGATCTCAGGCTAAGTCTCTGTCGCTCAGTAATAATCTTGCCCAAATAGTACTAGTTTCTGTCGGCGATATCATAGGTCGATCTTCTTTCAGACGTTCCGACTAATTAATGCGTGATATTTATAAGCTCTAAGCTTTTCTGGACAAGCGCATACCAGGTGGGTCCATAGGATGACAACTGACCTGCGTGCGCAAAGCGGAAGCTGCAGGTATATAAAATTATAAGCTTAGATAAGTTCAGCATGTAGAGCTGTTCATCGATTACCCGCTGAGCTTCCTATCAGCATGCCATCAGGTATACTATATTCTTTTAACGTGTAGAAATCACTAAGAAGAGGCACGCTTTTGTCTAAGAAGCTTAAAAAGGTACTCTAGAAGTTTAACCCGGTGTATAACAAGACGTCGGAAGAGAGACACGGGAAAAGAGACGCTATTAGCAATGTATCGGATGAGCCCACAACAAGAGACGGGATTTACTGTTAACGTCCGTCACTGTGTGCCGAAAAACCCCGTGTGCCGAAAATGACCAGTCGAATCTCAAGGATCATGGGCTTCTGTCTAGCTGTTGCGATCCGACTGGTCATTTTCGGCACACGGGGTTTTTC